ACTTTGATACTTTGAAAAACTTTATCGAAAACTTTATCGAAAACTTTGATACTTTGAAAAACTTTATCGAAAACTTTGATACTTTGATACTTTGAAAAACTTTATCGAAAACTTTATCGAAAACTTTGATACTTTGAAAAACTTTATCGAAAACTTTGACACTTTGAAAAACTTTATCAAAACTTTGACACTTTGAAAAACTTTGGCGAAAACTTTGACACTTTGAAAAACTTTGGCGAAAACTTTGACACTTTGAAAAACTTTGGCGAAAACTTTGACACTTTGATTTACTATAGTTAACTATAATAGTTTATTTAAACTATAAGTTAACTATAGTTAACTTTTGCACAATACCAGGACACTGAACTAAAGCTTATGTTTAAAATATAATTTATTTTATAAAGTTCCAGGTTTTATAGTCCAAATTTATTGTATAACTTGTTTACTTGAATCTGATTTGTTTGTTTCATATGTAAATGAATATTATGCATTGTACATTATAAATATGACAGTCTAACTTTACCAAGCGCTCTTGCTCTCATCTGGGCCGCACTTCTTAGAGCGTGGCTCTTCGGAGCAACGTTCTAGGAGGGATCGAAAGACTCTATACGATCACGAGCCATTTTACGATTAGTGTATTCAACCACAATCATCATTTGTATTCTCTAATAATTCCCCTACTTTTAAATAAACTCTTAGAAAAGACATTTTTTATTGGTCATTGGTTCACACCTGGAAGTCAGCTTGACATACGACTAAAATTAAATTGAAACATTTTATTTTTCCAAATTTTAAAAAAATTGTGATGATAGGTCTGAAAAAAAGCTACAAAAAAAGGTACCATTTAGAACCATTTAAAACAAAATTTTCTCGCGGAAGGCCCCAAACCCCGACCTATGGGAGGGGGACACCCCCTCGACCACCACCCCCCCCCCCCCCCTCCAACACACACACACACATGAACTTCTGGATCCGCCACTGTATTGTTGTCTATAACGACTTGTTATCATTGGTTCGGATTGTGCTAATACAATGTAATGTAAAATTCTACTTTTCAAAAACAGATTTAAAAAAAAATAATAAACACCGGGATAGAAAGGTGAGCGTTTCCTTTGTCCCTATATCCGCAGTTGCCAGACGTGTTTCGGATTAAAAAAATATTACCGAAACAAGTGTGTTTGTCCCTATACATGCTATATGGCCTATCCTTTTTGAAAACAGATGGACAAGTAATTTGCTCTAGTTTTTGAATTTCATGTTATTTATTTTTTCTGACTAATCCCAACACCAGAGAGAGAGAGAGAGAGAGAGAGCGAGCGAGAGAGAGAGAGAGAGAGAGAGAGAGAGAGAGAGATTTGCAAATAAAAATAATCCGGAAATTATCCCGCAAACGGTTCTACAATTTATATTGAAAATAAACCGAAAGTGAGGCTGGGTAGAGGATATTAAGCCATTTTAGGTAATTTGATGGTTAAAATCAAAATGATTTTACGGTGTATTTGATTAATTTTTTATCTTTTTCAATAGATATGTAAAGGTTGTATTTTTTTTTCTAAAATTAAGAAATGCCACTAAATTATTTTCCCCCGAATTTCCTCGAATTGTGATTTTACTTCGCGTACCTCACTTCGCGTAGGGTTTGCGTCGAGGTATGTTTTGTAATGTTGTTTATGTTATTTGATGTTATTGAATGCTGACCATTTAAATAATATAACGTTGTGATCTGAGGTTTTTTTTAAGAGTGCACGGAAACGTTTTTTTTATTTTCTTACCTTCCCCAGGAAATATTTCCGTTCGAATTTTCTCAAAAATTCGGATACAGTCGTTTACTGCTAGCAAATCCGTTTGTTGTCACCATAGGCGCTCCCCATGTAATTCTGTGAATGGCAAATGATAAGTAGGCCTATATGCCATTTACAGAATTACATGGTGAGTGCCTTTGGTTGTCAAATCAGCCTAGTTCCAAATGTTCCTCAGGTTGGGCACAACCCACCAAATCACAGGGACTTGCTCCTGGCGTGTAAAAAATATTTATGAAAAAAAAACGATATATACTATAAAACTACACAAGGGAGGACGCCATTTTGGACCCCTTCCTCGCTTCAACCTCTGTTTTCCTAATATTTTGCCGTATTTTACTGACTCGCCGCCTGGGATCTGTTAAGAAATGATTCTTCTAAAACCTTATGCTCAAATTTCCCCCTTGGAGCCTCTGCAATACACATTTCTGACTAAAAATAATCCAAACGCGCTCGTTAGGACAGTTGGTATGGACAGAAATCGAAAGCACATTCGAAGTCAGCCGAGGATTGCTGAATGATCTAATTCCATATTCGAATGTAAAACGCCGAGGTTACTTTCGCTTTCTGTCCATACCAACTGTCCTAACGAGCGTGTTTGGATTATTTTTAGTCAGAAATGTATATTGCAGAGGCTCCAAGAGGAAATTTGAGCATAAGGTTTTAGAAGAATCATTTCTTATCAGATCCCAGGCGGCGAGTCAGTAAAATACGGCAAAATATAACGAAAATAGAGGTTGAAGGGAGGAAGGGGTCCAAAATGGCGTCCTCCCTTGTGTAGTTTTATAGTATATTGTTTTGTTTTTTTTCATAAATATTTTTACACGCCAGGAGCAAGTCCCTGTGCACCAAATGGTCCTATATCCCCCCTTTGGTAGACAATCTCCCATATCGGTAACAAATTTTACTGACCATTTGGGGGACAAAACTTGTGTGTTCAATTCCATGGAGTGGAGTGGAATTGTGCATAATTTTAAACCATGTGGAATAAAATATAGATATTTATCAGTGTTCTGGGTGAAAAGAATCAAATTCAATGTGCAATTTTTTGCACAGAGTCGTTCAAAAATTTGACAAAAACGTAGCTTATGTAAACAAGTACAATGTTTCTCCGTTTTTTGCTTCAAAAGAAAATTCTCTACTTCTCCAACAATGCTGCACCTGTCAATAATGTTCTTTACTTTCTATTTCGATTATCCAGGCAACCAATCAATTCGATTATCTTTTTTAAAACTGATGAAAAGTCGGATTTACTACGTAGGAACAATTGTGTTAATTTTCAATTAGGAAATCAGAAGAAAGATAAGTTTTCGCCTTTATTTCGTTTAATTTTGTACACAATTGCTTTGTTCTTCCTAAAAATAGTAAATGCAGTTGGAGTATGATATAATTATTGTTTTAAAACGATGTACTTGGAACAAAAACAAGAAGAATGGCAAAAGTCATTTGGTACATCTTTTATTGAATATTATTTTTCAAATTTATTAAATTCATCAGTAATATGCATATCAAACCAAAAAATTTCGCATGGAATCTGCAACTTCATCCTAAAAGAAAAATGACAACAAATATTATGTTCAACTCTTGAAAAATCTAACTTTATAGCAGGAAGTGCCCACCGTACCAGTAAGGCATGAGGAGCTCGTGTTTAACAGGATTTTAGGCAGATAAATATTGACGAAGATCCAAATAGAGATTGAAAGTTAACTCATCAACAGTTGAATCACTTGATATAAATTGAATTTTTATCCAACACAACATAAAAAAAATTTATTTTGATCGATTGATCAAGAAGTTCGGCTGTTACAGAAAACTATGGGTATTGTTTTTACGAAGTTACAGAGAAATTGCACATAGAAATTCGACCGATTTATGTTATTTTTGCGAGGAATATGTTCACTAAAATCCCCATGCCTAAATAAATGCGCTTTTGTTTTATTTAAAGCTATATATGGCGTATCTGAGCTAAAAAATAAAAAAACGAGATTAAGTGTAGATCTACGTGATATTTGTTAATTACGTTCAAATTGAAATTTTCACCAATTCTAAACTTAAATAACCCCACGTTTCTATAGGTTAGATTGACTTTAAACTGTGTCTGATATTTTTTTCCGAGTCGGAAATAAATAGGTTATTGTTTTAAATCTCTGATATCTATGAAACGCTACTGATTTCAATTGTTTAATTTACAGGAAAGTCCTATCTTTATATAAATTAACATAACAAATAGAAAGATCAAAGAAGAAGAAGAAGAAGGGTTTTTTTTACGAAGTTAATTTTAGTTAGTCTAAATTTTGCAAGGAATAATACACCATATATCACTTTTTAAAAAAATTGCAATAGAATAAAAAAGTCCACCATTTGGTAAGTAAAATTCGTCACTGATATGGGAGATTGTCTACCAAACGGGGGATAAAAGACCATTTGGTAGGTTGTGCCAAACCTGTTCCTGGGTGTTTCCAAATTAGCCCCTTTACGGTGCTGTATTACTCTTCTGCAGGGCAAATTGCTAACATTTGTGAAGTTTTTGTTAATAGATAATAAAATGGAGTTTTATAAACAATTGTGTTTACATCATATTTTCACCAAGAATACAGCAAAACTCGTTTAGTACGAACACGGATATTGCGAATTTACAGATATAGCAAAGTCATCTTGGATCCCCAGATATATAAATTTAGTGACTTTCTTATACGGTCATAACAAATTACGGATATAGCGAAGTAATTTCACAGGTCTCAGCGACTTCGTTATAACCGAGTTTTACTGTATATCATTTTGCCCTGCAAAAGAGTAATACCACAGTTATCAAGTAAGGGTCTGCTAGTATTTCTTTGTTTTAACAACCCAATTTTTTTCTGGTTTCATAGTTTCAGAGTCCTTTTTTTTCAAGTATTGCATCATATGCTGTGTCTGAATAATTAAAGTTATGAATTGAATTATGGTTTGAAAATCAAAATATGGTTTATTTAGGCACTTTGGTAATAAATGTTTTTTTTTCAAAGTGCATTAACTTGGTCTAAAATTTAGCGCATTTTGAAATTTTTTTTCTTCAGAAAGGTTAATTTTTCAAATTGCAATGTAACATGGCATATTATTTTAGTACATGTATATAAAACTTGAAGAGTACATTCAGATCACAACAGTTTTCTCCTTGAACAGCTTTAATTTTAATTGTTTCCTTTAATGTATATCTGTTTGTAGATATGAAGTTCTGGGTTTTTATCTGCCTGTTGTTTTGTTTGTCACCGTTAACAGCCAGAAAACAGGACGTGGACACAGATGATAACGAATTCGCCGAATTCGAGGATGAAGGTACTGTAAATCACTTTTTATTCCAGAGAACTTTATTTTCGCGTAATTACGCAAGACAATGAGATCGCAAAAATTTCATTCACGCTTATAAAAGCCTTCCTTACGATAATATAGAGGAGAAATAAGAATTTGTGAAAAATTATGTCTTGCCAATAAAGAGTCAATGACTATCTTGTGTAAATAAGGTGTCGCGAAAATTTTGTGATCTACTAACAGTATATGAAGCATCAGAAGAGAACTTTGTAATGTCATCAGTATAACAAACCCCCTACAAATAATGAATCAGCTGAATGATTGTTGGTTATCTTTGATTTTGATTTGTTTGAACCATGTGGATTATGTGCCTTTTGTTTCAGATTTTGTTCATTGGATCCTGCTTTTGTTTTGTATGCTTCTGTACTCCATTCATAATAATCCCTTTTCAGAGGAGTTTGTCGTGGAGCCAAGCAGCGAGAAGTCTGGTCCATCAGCTGGTGACACTGACAGACAGATCAACAAAGATGCTGTGCCTACAGAGGACACAGAGGAGGAAGATTCTACTATAGAGGTGTGTGTGTGGGGAGGGGGGAGGCATTTTAGTGTTCACATGGTTGTAACAACCAGTGTTTTCCCTAAGAACCAGCTACCGGCCAAACTGACTGCTTCAATGGACAAAAGTGATGCTTTGAAATAAAAATTTAAAAATTTGTGACAAGGTCCACAGAGATTCTGTTCATAAATCTCAGTCCCAAGCCTGTTACAAATGATCTCTATTCTCTAACCCTTTACTTTGAAATGAAGGGAAAACACTGAACAACAGTGACAACTTCTCAAGTATCTCTGGTAATACAGACCAAAGTACTCAGAAGTACAGAGAGCCGGGCTCATTTACAGAGTAGAATGGATTTCTTACATGAATCATATTCTGATGAAAAAATTATTTTAAAACTATCAATATAAATGATAAGACACTGATAGTGAGTTTTTCAATCCTAATACCATGGTCTGATTTTGTCAGAATCAGAATTAATCTGGTACCACAGCTGAATGTAAACAAACAGGCCAGTCTGGTTCCCTCTCCTGCTTTACCTCGTATGTGTAGAGAAAGGTAAAATCAAAAATCCTTATGCTAAACTATGTTCTTTTTAAAAAAGTCATTACCTAATGTTTATTTTATATAGATTTCACCTTATCTGATGAATTTTTGCACGTAACTTTAAAATGGCGACTATGGGGTTAACATCCTGCCTTGAACAGGATCCTAAGCCGGAAAAGCAATAATACTTTGAATGTATTAAATTTCATGAAAAGGATTTTTAGTTTCACCTTAATTCTTAACCTAAAATATACCAAATTTGATTTTTAGTTCAATTCTCTACAATTCTCTATCATCCTTGGACTTTCAGTGAGGCATGGCATTCTCGAAGCTACATGATTAGCGTTTCTCAAATTTTCATTGGTTAAGAAATTGAATAACTTTAAATTGTCGTTGTTAACGATAACGATGAGATGCAGGGCTCGACATTAACGCTTGTCCGGTACCAGTGAAAAAAAAATACGGAAAAGTGAATATTGCTGGGCACTTGTCCGATTGGACAAGTGCATTTTAATGCAAAGGAGTCTATAAATAATAAAAAGAACGACTGTTGAAAGCTAATCGGTAGTTTCAAGACAGAAACTATATATGAAAACCAGACTTTGATCCCGATTTGTATCGCCATATTAATATTGAGTTCATATTCGATCGGGATCGAAGCTCATTAATTGCATACCACTGAAGTCATGGAAGATACGAACCGAAGTGTGGATTCTGTTTGAAGTTGACAGGTTCACTTCGTCTTGTGGACATTTATGTTATTGTAAGGACAGAAAGCCTAGATTAAATTTCGTTATATGTGTTTGTTGTATTTATCAATAACATTACGAATCAATCACACACATGTCATGTGATGGACTTTATTTTATTTTTCAAATTTCAAAGATCTTTATTGCAAAATTTTCGGACAAGTGAAGTTGAAGTTCGGACAAGTGAATGTCCTGGTCACTTGTCCAAATGGACAAGTAGGAGAAAAAGTTAATGTTGAGCCCTGAGATGACTTTAGCCCCACCTCTTTGCCGTATGAAATGCTGTGATTGGATCCTTACCACACTTGTTGAAGTTTGTCAGAATTTCTATCCCATGTATATTTCAACAGTGAGTGAAAGGCTGTATAAATTTCAGATGCTAATTTTGTAGAGTGGAGAATGCCATGTCTTACTGAAAGTCCAAGGATAACAGAGAATTGTTCTAACATCGTACTTTCACTGAATTTTAAGAATTTTGTTAAAATTTTTCAGACAGAGGATGAAGAATTTGAACACTTTATCGATGAAGATGAATTTGAGGGGTTCGAAAAAGACAAGAGTCAGCCATCCAAATCAAAAGATGGACAACCAGAACTGAAAATGGCCGATGTACGTTTTTAATGTTTTACAGTAAAACTTGCTTAGTATACTGTAGGAACACAGATATTCGCAGGTATAACGAGGTTTTTTTTACACCCAACTATAAATTTTTTACACATTCCTTACATGGTTATAACGACAAGGTTGTGACTAGTAACTTTATTGCATGTTTTACCGTAGCATCATAGTTAGGGATGGGTACTGCCAAAAATTTTGTATCGCGATATTTCACGATTTTTTCCCCACAATATCACGATAATATAATGATATTTTTAAAAGCAGTTTTTACAATGATTTTGTATGAAAAGTCATTATTTTTCTCAAAAATATGCTAGAAAAACAAAATTTTACTTTCTTGAAAGGATGATGTGACATAACTGCTATCTTGGGCCCCTTTTTCCACGACGAATTATATTTAATCTACAAAGATGTTGGTAGTTTTCAAACATGAGTGAATAAATAGGACGCCTTTTCAGCAGTTTCAATAGTTCAGACACATTTTAATTGCAAGGAAAACTGCATTACCTTTGATTTTTTACACCCTATCACAGCTAAATTAGGCCAGGTTTGTGAGAATATGTTTTTTATGGCAAGAGAATGGGCGGGTCTTAGTACAAAAGAGGAATATATGTGTCCGAGAAGCCCTTATATGGCTATTGTTATTATATCGCACATAGTCATTGTCCAATCCGATGACAGAACAACAAAACATGCTGGTTTACTACGTTTACAATTTATCACAGACACGTGGTTTAGGTCAATTTACCTGTCATAGTTTTCTACATTTCAGACTTTTATAATGGTAGTCAAGTCTGTTTGTATTTTAATACGCATGTATTTTCAGCATTTACGGTTTTTAGGGCAAGAAATGTAATTGTCACTGATACTTTGAAATAGCGAATTGCTCACCAAACAAACTAACTAATGTATACTGTCATGTATTTATAAATTGTTTGTAACTGTTGAAAATCTTTGTAATCTCGGAAATTGTATATGTATATCCGTGTCTAATCTGTGACTCAAATGTATAAAAAAAAATATCGGATAGCAGTAAAATTCCAAGCATGTTTCCATAGAATTTGTTGTATTCACTCGTAACGAATTTTGTTTAGCTGATTGGTCAAAGAAGTGCCTCGATTAGCATATGAATTTATTCTTAGGTCAGAAAATCTAGTTCCGTCGATCTGTTCATAATGCGAAAGGCCGGATAGATTTTACATTTCTTAAAAATAGCACATTTTCTCCTTTTACAAATAGGTAGATTTCAATAAAATCCAGTGTAGTACCTTCGTATATTTTAAGGGCTTCAAAGAGTGGGGCGTGGTTAAAACGCAATAGGAATTGGATGTAAACATGATACCCCTACCCCAATAAAGGGTCTATATCAAATCACGTTTCTATTTTTGTTTAAAATAGTATTCTATAAAGGTACACATATCAGTGATTAGCTGCATGCAAAAATTTGAACAAAATCTAGACATTTATATTTTGTCAATTTACCGGGGGCCCCAAGTCACCTCATCCTTTTTATTTATATAAAATCAATTATGTTTGGACGGTAAGATGCCGTTCTTATCACTTTTTACAACATTTTTTGTACTTTCTGTAATTGTAATTTGAAAGATTGAACAAATAAATGATAATTTCTTGACTTTATAATATGTATCTAAAGACCTGTATTTAGGTCTCCGTATCAAGATACGTATCACGCAACAAAAAATCGCGATATACTGGTATACCGATAAAATCGCACATCCCTAATTGTAGTTCTTAGATTTTCCACAATTATCAATCATGGTTATCCAAGTAGAATTGCATTGAACGAAGTTTTTTGAATTATCTGCAATTTTTTTTAATTTTTTTAAAATGAAAACTTTAATTTTAAAATCATTTGCAAATTTTTCTAATTTTTTAAAATGAAAACTTTTATATTGTTGAAATTTTGCTTTGTCCAGAATACAGTTTGTTACCTCTGTGAATTTCTTTCTGAGTTTCGCTATGTGTAAGACATCCAAATGTTTAAAGATAATCCTATGATAGGTTTGTCTAACATTTTTCCTGCTCAATATCGTGGCTGGCTGCAGCTGTTGAAACCAATGTTTACAACTTTGTTTGAGGTGTTGATTGTGGTGTCACAACATCGCTGCATACGCACTGACTCCTGGTGAATACGGCCTAAATTCAGTGAATATGTATAGTGTTATGAACTGTTTACATTTGTATAGATTATAAAGGGATTCTAAAATAGACTACATAATAAATTTTTTTTATTGCTTTGATATTATAGGTACCATTGCAATTCCGAACGAACTGGGACAGCTTTTATGTAGAGATTCTGATGCTTGCTGGGCTTGGGGTGTATTTCCTGAACTTTTTACAAGGGAAAAGCAAGAACCATAAACTGGCCCAGTCATGGTTGAGTGCACACCGTGACATCCTTGAACAAAACTTCAGCATTGTGGGTATGTATACTAGTCTTATCTTTAGAATATTGATTTGTTCTAACAATGATCTAACAATTCATACATGATATTGGTTTCTGGCTTTAAAAAAATCTTCAGGAAGTTAAATTCATAGCATCTTATGCAATTTTGAAAACACTTAGAATCTAAGTGAAATATGCACTATATACAGTTATTTTTCAAAAGTAGAATTAAAACCACTTGGGATTATCTAAGTTTGATAAAACCAGTTTGTTTTAATTTTACTTTTGTAAGATTACACTATATAGAGAAATCTTCCCTCAAATTTTATTTTTGCTCTCTTTAGAAGTGGGCCAATTTTAATTTAAACATGCATTTTATTTAAAAGTCGGGTTTCTACTCTATTCACATATGTCTTGATGAATTTTGAATGAAGCAAAATTTTCTGTAAGTTTGATAAGCTAAAAATATTAAGTCTCTTTAAATGATGACATATTTAACATTTTATTTTAACAGGTGATGATGGAACTTCTAAAGAGGCATCCTCTGGGACTCTAATGAAGGAATCGGAAAATGTCTACGCCCTCTGGTGCAGCGGTAGAACATGTGTGGAGGGAATGCTGGTCGAACTGAAGTTCCTGAAGAGACAAGACCTCATTAGCTCCATTTCAAACATGTTTAAACCCGCCTCAGACCAGATTGTAAGTCACAGGTCTTCAATTCTTTTAAGGACATAGGCAACGTACCTTACCTACTGATAATTTTTGAATCCACCTGGCTCTCCTGCCTTGGCAAGAATGAGCCAGTGGACTTAAGGTTCATTGACACTCTGATAAGAGAGATAACTCTTAATTGACATAAATGTCTATTATTCCTTTATAGATTTACTAAGTTGAAGTGTCTTTTTTGTCCGGTTTTGCCCCACAAGCTATGCTATTATTATTTGAATTTTAACTAAAAAATGCATTTCTTTTCATGAAGGATCAAGCAACATTTTATATGAGTGAGCAGAGGCTTTATGAGCTTTAATCCCTTCATTACAGGTAATCCAGGTAGATCTGGATCCCAAGGTGATGGATAAGTTTGTATTTGCCATTGCTCAGAAGAGAAGCTGCAACAAACTCCACAAGGAAATGCTGGACTTGGTAGGTATATCTTGTCACAATACTGGTTTGTCATAGAGGTGAAGAGATTTTATAGGGAGAGGGCTTAAATCTAGGCTTTCCCTGCTGCCCAATCCCATTCACTTTTATTTGTGAATACAACTTTGTATAAATGAAAAAAGAGAGGTTTTATAACTAATGTTAAACTTTCAGATTTTGAACTTGATGTCACCAAGATCAAAATGTCCAAGATACATGTACATGAGGTTTCAAGATATTTAGACTAAAATGCATAAAAAATGTAGTTTGGATTTCCAAGTCACATAAATAGATACAGTATCTACTAGTAGCATGTTTATACTGCTGGCATTTACCCTTAACGATACATATCCATGTGGCTTGGTACGATTCTAAGCAGGTCATAAAGAGGTTAATCCCATGTAAACGAAGACAGTGAAGAAGTTCAAAATCACAATACTTTTAAAGCCATACATGGCGTAAATGATCAATAAAATATATTTTTGAAAAATACAAAATTAAGTAAAGAAATATACTTACTACATTTAAATTAAAACTTTTCATACAATTCTGAACATGGAGAACACCTCGTTTCATCTAATAATACGATTTTATCTTCTCTGTATTGTGTTATTTAAATCCTTTGTATTTTCTTCCAACCAAATTAAATTGTGATATCTTTATAACGCAGTTGACTTAGATTTTGTAATTTACGTAAAAGTTCTATCTTTATATAAAGTAATGATATAATTAATAAGTTCTTATAATTTTAGTCTAATAATTTTCATTGTACATACGCCATATATGGCTTTAATTAGAAAACAGAGAGCACAAGGTTATTTAAAAGGATATTTTTACTCAACCTTTACGCATATAATTTACACATTATACATGTATATCGACTCTGAACAAACCTGTGCTCAGTGTTTACGAAAATGTCATGTTTTAAATTTTGAATTTACCGGGTGGCAGTAAATACATTGTACAAAATTTACAACATGACATAAATTTTGTATTTACTGCCACCCGTTAAATTAAAAAATTTACAACATGACAAAAGCTTTAAAGTGTATACTTGTCAGTGATTTCTTTTGATATTCATGAAAATCAAAGGACCCCAACTTCAACACGCAGCTTCGTATGCTGCGTATACTAGGTTCTTTTGTTTGACATTTTTAAATGATGACTCAAATAATAAAGACATTTGTTAATTATAAAATTTCATTTTTAAGGCTTTTGAAAAATGTTCGAAATTTGATGAGTAACGGGAGGCCACAGATAAGCCTTATTGAGACTTGTGAGTTGTCCTTTCATGTGATTGAAAATGAATATTAAACCAAACATTTTTTTGCCCTCCCATAGAGCCAGTTCACAGAAAAGAAGAACCTGGATAAAAAGATCGACATTCCCTCAAGTTTTCAGGTCCTCAGTGAGATTATGGAGGCTACAACAGCTGTTCTGGACAAAAAGGTCAGAGGTCATTGTGAATTGTAAATGAGTATAAAGGTCAAACGATTTTTGTTCCCCTGAGACTACTGTAAACATATTACATTTAGCGGTGTATTCTATTTAGCGTTTTGGCGGAAAGCAGGGCCCTCTAATTCAAGAACATTTCTAAATGTCTTGTATATTAACTTTTATAACTAGCAAATTCAGACAACGCTAAATCAAATTTACGATAACTTGTTGAAAATTGAATTTCCGCCAAATATCGTACATGCCAAATGTAATACATTTACAGTAAACTGAAGTAGTAGTAATCAGACCACGGTGTCCCTATTCTGCATTAGGGGTGAAATCTAGCTTCGGAACTGAAGATCTCTACTTGACAATATTCATACAGATAAAGCAGAGCTACATATCGTAAAAACCTTTGATTTACGCGGTCATTTTTGGTCACTCACTTTGGGTATTATTTCTTGAATTTTTAGCGTTCCCCCACTTTAAGAATGATGTCTGATAGTTAAGGATGTCACTATTTCATAATTATTCTTGATACTTACATGTAATTTACCTTTGAATGGTCACAAACAGCCTTTTATGGTTTTGGAATGTTGGTTTGAAAAAAATCCATTCCGACATTTATGTTGGAGATCATAGAAATATCTGTCAAAGATCATACATTTTCCCTTGAAATTAAACCCATCATGAATGCTATTGTAAGTTTTAGAAACGTTTAAATGCTTAATAATCAAAATTTAAATTAATTTGTCATGTTTCTTGCAGCATGAAATTAAAACCATCATGAATGGTACATGAAATTTTAACACTGGAATTTGGAATTAAAACACCTTACACATGTTACAGTTATTCTTCTATTAATTGACAGGTTTGCACGGTGCTCCAGAAATTTGAGCCGTGTGTGGAATACATTCATTTTTCTGACCAGTATGCAGGACTTAAGTCTACCGAGTACGGTTTGGTTTTTGTTTTTCTTGAAGATTAAGATTGTCTAGGGTTAATCAATCTTCAAAATTATATAGCTGTGTATGTAGAAAGAGCAGAACATATTATGCATTAACCTGTAAACAATACTGCTAATTAATGTAAAAAAAAAAAAACTCTTCATTTTCAAATATAATGTGCTACATATCTATAGAACATAAGGAGAAACTTGTATATGCATTTTTTTTATCAATTTAAAATTCTCTGTCAATTAAGTCTAATCCAGTAGAGCTGCAGTCTTGACAGAGACGTCTGGTTCCGTGATTGTCCAGTTTGAGAATTTATTTGCAAATTCACATGTTTTTTGTTTTCATTGTTATATAGTTTGAGAATTCATTTAAAATTTGATATGTGTTTTGTAGCGACTCTCAACCAACTAAGATGCCTCAAGTGAAACCAGTCCTGATGTTTGTCTTCAATGGTAAAGTAGTCAACGCTTAAAATCATCATTTCCTTTTCTTATACATGTTATAATTGTAACAATCTCTATGAAAATTTGAAATAATTATACAGTATTCTACAATAATTTCAAACAATGCTTAATTTAGCATCAGCATGGTCTAACAGTAAACTTTTATGCCGAAAACCCACAATTTTATCTCTATTATTTTCAAATGTTTGATTTTATACTTGTTGTACAGTCTTTGTGAAAAAACTCAACATTGTTATAAGTACATGTATGTATCCTATACATATTAATAAATGTTTGCCAGTGTTATTTTAGGTGATAACTTATAGACTCAGTATACTTATTTTCAGTGCCTGGAAAGGGGAAGACTAAGCCCTCTGATATGGAATCTGTAAAACCACTGCTCCAGATGGTCTTCCACTGCATCGATAAAGTCAGCCGTCTTCAACTTAGCCGAGAGGTAAGTAATGTATTGATAAAGTCAGCTGTCTTCAACTTAGCTGAGAGGTGAGTAATGTATTGATAAAGTCAGCCGTCTTCAACTTAGCCGAGAGGTGAGTAATGTATTGATAAAGTCAGCTGTCTTCTACTTAGCGGAGAGGTAAGAATTGTATTGATAAGGCCAAAAAAAATTAATCAATGGTTTCTCAGGCACTGCCGCATCAGTTCAAAAATGGCCGCATTGATCAATTTTATTGACATATTGAAAGGGAAGTAACTCAATTTCCTGTTTTTTTCCAAGTTGAAAAAGAAAATTGAGTTATTCCCCTTTTCATAAATGCTAATATATGGACACAGACTACCAATTATTTTGCTTTACATTCCTTTATAATATAAAAAATGATTAAAAAAATTTCACCAGCTCAACTTACCTGAAACTTGGCACAGAGTAAGAAGAATTCAAGTCCAAAAATTTGTCAGAATCACAGGAAAATTCATCGCATGCAGTTCCTGCTAAGGCATCGCAAATAACCCCTACCCTGCTTTTTTCACTTTCTCTTCGGGGAAAGGGTAAATATGGGCCTCTTTACACCTTTCATACTACGCGCTTAAGTGCAAAATTTCACAAATTATTAATTTTATATTTTTTTTCAAACTCTCTCCTTTCCATCTATGCCCCAAAATAACACCATTCCACCCCGTAAGCACCCCAAAGAATTTTTAAGAAAAAACCTCTATTTTTAAACTGGAACTCTTTGCGTGGTCAATGAAGTAGGGGTAGAATTAGTAGTCTGTAACCATATACGTTTTTACTAGAAAAACAGTACATTTCTTCTAAATTTTCAGTATTTTATGAATTAATTTTTAAATAAATGTTTGGAGTAACATTATTTAAAGTTGAATACATATTATCACCAATTTCAGAGAACAAAAGTTAAGAATTGGTAGATATTATCATTTTATTGAACAAATGACTTGGAAAAGGTGTTAAACCTGCTTTCAAAAAGAAAAAAAAAAAAGAAGCCTGCCTGCCGCATTGAGTTTTGATTTTTTTGGACTGAGAAACTATTGATTAATTTTTTTGGCCTAAAGTCAGCTGTCTTCTACTTAGCGGAGAGGTAAGTAATGTATTGATAAAGTCAGCTGTCTTCAACTTAGCCGAGAGGTAAGTAATGTATTGATAAAGTCAGCTGTCTTCAACTTAGCCAAGAGGTGAGTAATGTAAAGATAAAGACAGCTGCCTTCAACTTAGCTGAGAGGTAAGAAATGTATTGATAAAGTCAGCTGCTTCAACTTAGCCAAGAGGTGAGTAATGTAAAGATAAAGACAGCTGCCTTCAACTTAGCTGAGAGGTGAGTAATGTATCGATAAAAACTGCCGTCTTCAACTTAGCCGAGAGGTAAGCAACAAAAAGCACTTTAGGATCATCTGACTTTTCTAATTTAAAGATTGCTGAATGTTACAAAAATACTTGTTACATTATTATATTTTCCCCTTTTACACTGTAGAACAATTTTGCCCAAAAAAATTTTATTCGCCCACATATAATTGTAGCTACTCTATTTAATTATTCTTTTTTTTCTTAATTCCCACATTTATGATGAGGTCAGAAATAAAACAAGGAACAAAAATTTCCATCGCTTACAGCACTTTTGATGATTTTTGTAACAGGCCAAACAGAAAGCAGAAAAGAACCGACAGAAGGCGGAGGAGGAATACGAACGTTTGACTCACAGTCAGCGTCAGGAGGCGGCACAGCTCCGCAGGGAGGAAAAACGTCGTGTGGAGAAAGAACGACTCCTTAACGAAGAGGATCCGGAAAAGGCACGAAAGCTTGAGGTAATGTCCCTAAAAATACAGTATAATGGGAATTTTTTTGTGCTGCTAATTTTTACTAATTTTTACCACTTTTATAAATCCGTAAAATTTAACAGAAGTTGATGGTTTGAGTTGTCTCTCTTTATATTACCGATAAAATGAAGACGGGCATGCGATGCTCATCAATAAAGATATTGAGCATGCTGTGTTTTCGCTTTAAAAAAACAGGAATCTAAGAAGGATACATGATATATAAAGGTAATTCAATGAACAAACATTTATATATCATTCACATATCATATTAATTTAAAGAATCGACATTCGATATCGTGGGAAGTAATTCATTTGATTTTTATATCGGGTTTTCCAGACGCATTTAGCTTTCTTGTATGTAAAAGCATTCAAAATGTTAAAACATTGATCTGGAATTTCACCTCTGATGATTTTAATTTTATGGACATGCTCAATTCGCAAAAAATTAACACGTAAAAATTTAAATCACCATATTTCTACCAAAATTCATTAAAAATTTACAGCAGTGAAAATAACCTGTTATATGGTATTATTTTATTGATAATTAATATTAACATCAAACTAATGTTGCCATTCAAATTACTTTTCCATATTACAAAGGATTAAATTTTGTAGTAAGAATCCAAATTTTAGTCTCAGATAATTTATGAATAATTAATAGCTATGCTTATGAATAGAGAAGTTTAAGGAAATTATTTTCACGATGTTTATGTACAGGTTTGTTTTGAAACGGGGCCTCATTTTTCTCAAGTATTTTATCATTTCTGCTTACTTTGAATATTCACTGATGTTAAATTATGAATTGTGCAGGAGAGAGAAAATCGACGAGAAATGAAGCGTAAACAACCCAAGATGAAGATGATGAAGGTGCAAGGCTGAGGTAAATTTTGACAATGCAAAACACACCAAGTGGTATAGATTACAATATATTGTTGACACAAAACACAGAGTAATGTAGATTGCAATAGATTGACAACACAAAACACATAGAGGACTGTAGATTACAATAGATTGACAACACGAAACAAAGAACTGTAGATTATAATAGATTATCAGCTAAAAACACAAAGTACTGAAGATTACAGTAGATTGACAACACAAAACAAAGAATCGTAGATTATAATAGATTGACAACACAAAACACACAGCGTACTATAGCTGCGGATCTGTAGCTCTCCCAAAAAAATATTGATAGACCGGAGAGCTACAGAGCCATCCATTGAAAAAATTGTATATTTATTGCGCACAAAAAAATGCGCTCGGTTCTTGATTTATTTCTCCATGTTTTTAAAGCTGTAATCTCAAAATATTACTACATGTAACCGTGTGTTCCTACACATTCTTTGACTCTTTCCACAACAAAATATTCCTCGTAATTGTTGTTAATAGTCCTCCTGGCCCTGATATTGCAATTATCGGACATTTCGCTTAATTATACTGCCATTTTGGTTTCAAAGATAATTTGGTCCAATATGCTTCGTTCATTACGAGAGAACTTGATAGAGGAGAGAGTAATTTTTTGAAATCTTCCATTTTTTGCAACTGAGGTAATAATTTGGAAAAATTAATCAAGAATCGAGCGCACTTTTTTGTGCGCAATAAATATACAGTTTTTTCAATGGGTGGCACTGTAGCTCTCCGGTCTATCAATATATATTTTTTCGGAGAGCTGCAGATCTGCAGCTAAGCATACTGTAGATTACGGTAGATTAACAACACAAAACAGAGTATTGTAGATTACAATAGATTGACAACACAAAACACACAGAGTACTGTAGATTACAATAGATTGTCAACACAAAACAAACAGAGGAATGTAGATTACAATAGATTGACAACACAAAACAAACAGAGTACTGTAGATTACAATAGATTGACAATACAACACACAGAGAACTGTAGAATGACAACACAAAACACTCTAAGTACTGTAGATTACAATAGATTGAATAACGCAAAAGCAACGTTCTTGCAAATAAAAAGTGATTACAGCAATTGTACATGAATGTATGAATTGAGTCTGTGTAAAAGTACATGTATGACAGTATGTAAACTTATTTAAAATAAGCATCATAGCTGTATTGAAAAAAATTTGTACGAATTGAACGATTTCTTCTTTTTTTCAGGTGTAAAAATGATGTGCAATGAAGAGTTTAAAAAATTTCTTAGTTTCCAGTTTTTAACTTGAATGTGTGCAATTTGAAGAAAGACTCTCTGTTTGTGAAATGTGACTGTTTTATTGTCATTATGTTTTTATATATATATGTATATCTGCAGTTTTTGTCACTAATAATATATTTACATTACATACATATGTATGTTCATCAGTACATGTACAAACTTTAAAAAATAAATTCAACTTTTATAGAAATATTTGTAAGCATTTTAATAAATGATGATCAAATGACAAATTAATTGTTGCCTTTTTAACTCACCTGAGCCGAAGGCTCAAGTGAGCTTTTCTGATCAAAATTTGTCTGTTGTCTGTTGTCGTTGTTGTTGTCGTCGTCGTTGTTGGTGTCATTGTTAACTTTTTACATCTTCATCTTCTTAAGAGCCACTTGGCCAATTTCAACCTAACTTGCCACAAAGCATCCTTGGGTGAAGGGGATTCATGATTCTTAAAATGAAGGACTAAGCCTTCTTTCAAGGGGAGATAATTATGAATTAATATAAAATTCATGGTATCTTTTTAAAAGTCTTCTTCTTAAGAACCATTGGGCCAGGAAAGATGAAGGGGTAGGACAGGGCCACAATGGCTGATCAAAGTTTTACATAGGAATATATAGGAAAAATCTTTGAAAAATCTTCTTCTCCAGAACCATTCGGCCAGGAAAGGTGAAACTCGTGTGTAAGCATCCTCAGGTAATGTAGATTCAAGTTTGTTCAAATCATGACCCCCAGGGGTAAAGACAGGGCACAATGAGGGATCAAAGATTTTCATGAGAATATATAGGAACAAATCTCCAGAACAGAAACGTATTGTTTAGTCAAATTGAAAATTAAGCATCTGCAAGTAGTGAAGTTTTAAATTTATTCAAATAATGTCCCGAGGGACAAGGGGTCACAATGTGAAATCAAGTAATATGTTGCAAGAAATCTTTTCAAGTATGGCAAAATTACACATGTGTGCTTAACTGATATAGTAACATTCTCAAGTAATAGAAAATTCAAACCCCCTCCCCCAACAAGTATACTTTTCAATACTGAGCTGATTTGTGTTTGAAGATACACTCGGTAAAATGTACTCTATATATTACATGTATTAGAAAGAACGTTGTAAATTGTAAATAAAGTGAGAGTTTAGACATAATGTTGGGGAGGGGTGGAGTCTGCTGATGGAAATTGATTGTATATTGTTTAACGTCCCTCTCGATAATTTTTCACACATATGGAGACACCACCACATGCCGGTGGAAAGCTGCAAATTTTGTCCCATACTTAGGGCTATTGAGCAGGGAGGGATTTTTTTCATGCCAGCACCTACTGCGACACGTGACCTCGGTTTATACTGTCTCATCCGAAGGACCGGTCTCACAGTGGGATTCGAACTATGTCATCAGAACTGTAAAACCGAGAAGTGACTATGTCGTCAGAACTGTAAAACTGAGAGACATTATACAATAATGGACTGTTTAGAAGGGAGACATCACCAATTATCAGGTCTGAGTAGGGTTGTCACCCTCAGACCTGATAATTGGTGATGTCTCCCTTCTAAACAGTCCATAATTGTATATTATTATCCTTCAGAATTAGACAGTCAATCTGATTGGTTTAGAGCAGGTCACGTGCAGGGAGACAACTCGTGATGTCTCCCTCACGCGCAGGGTGACAACTGTTATTTATTTTGCAGTCTGAAATAAAAATGATCACTATTTCAGCTTTTTAACATTTGAACATTTTCAACTTCTTAAAAATATCTTGTGTTTTCCTAGCATAGATGCTTTTAAAACTGTGAAAGTACTTTTTAAACTGCATTTTTTTTTTGTGGCCGATTTGATGCTTTGCATCAATTTTACTTGTTGCATTTTGATTTATTTTCACTTCTTAAGATGCATTAGAACATATGAAAATCATGTTTAATCGTAAGTGTTTTAATCATACAACTTTCCTGTTTTTAAAGGAAATTAGACGAATTTTACAGATAAGTGTTTTTTTTTCCAAGAGCCAAATAAGGAAGTTTTCTCATATATTTTACTGTAAGAAACATACACATCCTGTGTAATATCACATGAGTTTTACACAACAATTCTATGGAGGCCCACGAAAGGGTAGGTTATTCAATGACTTGTAAACGTGGAAAAATACAGAAAAACTTTTATGATATATGTTTTATAAATGTTGGTATTATTGAATCTATTTAATGTGTGGATGTATAACTAAGGTCTACTATACGTAGATTATGATGCATGAACCCTTTTGATGGGCCCCAGGATTTCTCTTGACATGTGATCCACTTGACTTGTTGACCGGTGTAACCGTGAAAACTGTCGCTAGTGCTCAGTGTCGCTCTTAATAGAATATATAGGGAAAAGAGCGACACTGAGCACTGGCTTATGCGCATGCCTAGGGATTTCGGTCGCTTCAAATCGAAGCGGTGTCCCACTGAATTTAATTCCATGGTAATAGTATCCAAAGTCGTAGATCTTTATGTTTTCTTTGTTTATTTTGATCTTAAAAGAAGGCAAGACAAATAAAATTTTAAAATTTTAGAACTTTTTATTTTTTTTTTTACCTCGTATAGAATTATTAAAATAATGATCTTTTAAATTTCTATATTATAGAGAATAAACGGCTACACATTTAATCGCGGTAAATTGAACAGATACTTGTATTTAAAAAAAGAAGAGAAAACATGCCAGAGTCCCTCAGTCATTTCTTAATAGGTGTGAACCACGCCGTGGGCGTTATCTCAGACAGGTGTCAAAAATTACCTGTATGTTAATAACTAACAAACACAGCTCCCCATGGTCGATTAATAATTTGATACCAATTAAAGGTGTGAACGGAGGTGAACCGAGAACTGAAGTCTAGTAACAAACCTTAAATATCTGTATTTTATCAAAATATAAGTTGAAAATATATATATATAAGTTTTATCAACCAGTTTTTATTTAATTAACAGATAAATAACGAGAAACACGCATAATTATGAAGAATGAGAGTCAGTGCTGAGTGTCGCTCTTCAAAATGGCAGTTCCCTATTTTCACACACCTGACTTATATATCGTCTGTAAAACAGGTATACCGTAAAATTTCAAGCCGGTCTTAGTTGATATAGATGATTTAGGTATAATTTAAGAATTCTAGAAGAAAAAAATGTAGAAAATAATTATTTTGAAATAGTTATGAGCGTCAGTGCTGAGTGTCGCTCTTCAAAATGGCAGTTCCCTGTTTTCTCACACCTGACTTATTATATCGTCTGTAAAACAGGTATACCGTAAAATTTCAAGCCGGTCATAGTTGATATAGATGATTTAGGTATAATTTAAGAATTCTAGAAGAAAAAAATGTAGAAAATAATTATTTTGAAATATTTATGAGCGTCAGTGCTGAGTGTCGCTCTTCAAAATGGCAGTTTCCTATTTTCTCACACCTGACTTATATATCGTCTGTAAAACAGGTATACAGTAAAATTTCAAGCCGGTCTTAGTTGATATAGATGATTTAGGTATAATTTAAGAATTCTAGAAGAAAAAAATGTAGAAAATAATTATTTTGAAATAGTTATGAGCGTCAGTGCTGAGTGTCGCTCTTCAAAATGGCAGTTTCCTATTTTCTCACACCTGACTTATATATCGTCTGTAAAACAGGTATACAGTAAAATTTCAAGCCGGTCTTAGTTGATATAGATGATTTAGGTATAATTTAAGAATTCTAGAAGAAAAAATCGTAGAAAATAATTATTTTGAAATAGTTATGAGCGTCAGTGCTGAGTGTCGCTCTTCAAAATGGCAGTTCCCTGTTTTCTCACACCTGACTTATATATCGTCTGTAAAACAGGTATACCGTAAAATTTCAAGCCGGTCTTAGTTGATATAGATGATTTAGGTATAATTTAAGAATTCTAGAAGAAAAAAATGTAGAAAATAATTATTTTGAAATAGTTATGAGCGTCAGTGCTGAGTGTCGCTCTTCAAAATGGCAGTTTCCTATTTTCTCACACCTGACTTATATATCGTCTGTAAAACAGGTATACAGTAAAATTTCAAGCCGGTCTTAGTTGATATAGATGATTTAGGTATAATTTAAGAATTCTAGAAGAAAAAATCGTAGAAAATAATTATTTTGAAATAGTTATGAGCGTCAGTGCTGAGTGTCGCTCTTCAAAATGGCAGTTTCCTATTTTCTCACACCTGACTTATATATCGTCTGTAAAACAGGTATACAGTAAAATTTCAAGCCGGTCTTAGTTGATATAGATGATTTAGGTATAATTTAAGAATTCTAGAAGAAAAAAATGTAGAAAATAATTATTTTGAAATAGTTATGAGCGTCAGTGCTGAGTGTCGCTCTTCAAAATGGCAGTTTCCTATTTTCTCACACCTGACTTATATATCGTCTGTAAAACAGGTATACAGTAAAATTTCAAGCCGGTCTTAGTTGATATAGATGATTTAGGTATAATTTAAGAATTCTAGAAGAAAAAAATGTAGAAAATAATTATTTTGAAATAGTTATGAGCGTCAGTGCTGAGTGTCGCTCTTCAAAATGGCAGTTTCCTATTTTCTCACACCTGACTTATATATCGTCTGTAAAACAGGTATACAGTAAAATTTCAAGCCGGTCTTAGTTGATATAGATGATTTAGGTATAATTTAAGAATTCTAGAAGAAAAAAATGTAGAAAATAATTATTTTGAAATAGTTATGAGCGTCAGTGCTGAGTGTCGCTCTTCAAAATGGCAGTTTCCTATTTTCTCACACCTGACTTATATATCGTCTGTAAAACAGGTATACAGTAAAATTTCAAGCCGGTCTTAGTTGATATAGATGATTTAGGTATAATTTAAGAATTCTAGAAGAAAAAATCGTAGAAAATAATTATTTTGAAATAGTTATGAGCGTCAGTGCTGAGTGTCGCTCTTCAAAATGGCAGTTCCCTGTTTTCTCACACCTGACTTATATATCGTCTGTAAAACAGGTATACCGTAAAATTTCAAGCCGGTCTTAGTTGATATAGATGATTTAGGTATAATTTAAGAATTCTAGAAGAAAAAAATGTAGAAAATAATTATTTTGAAATAGTTATGAGCGTCAGTGCTGAGTGTCGCTCTTCAAAATGGCAGTTTCCTAATTTCTCACACCTGACTTATATATCGTCTGTAAAACAGGTATACAGTAAAATTTCAAGCCGGTCTTAGTTGATATAGATG